TGCGTTCGTTTCTACGATTAGCACTTTGAAACGGCAAGAAACGCCGCCGGAGAGTCGGCGGGACCTGATTAAATTTCATTCCGGGGGCTGAACGCCCCCGCCCTACCTTAATGGGCCGTGAGCTACAAGTTAAACAAATGTTGCTCGACGTGTGTGCGCGCGCGATGACGCCACACTTGAGTCCACTTTCCACTGGTCAAGGAAACTGACGCGCACCGTGCCGATTGCTCGAGTGCTGTCTCCTCGCAAATGGCTGGTTGTATTTCCGAACATATGAATAATGGATTCGAATACAAAATCCAGCGGTTGGAGACGTGTGCACACATTGTACGCCGGGAAATACGCGAGTCAAGATTTAACCCAACTCTGTGCACCCTCCAAACTTCGACCTAACTTTGATACGTGTGTTAATCTAATTTGTCCGTAATCCAGGTGTGTGTTTCGTTTGAAACCAAACTCAGATGTACATTTCGCGGATCTACGTTTGCTAATCAAGACTTAACACAGCTGTATGTCCTCTATCAACGTAGATCTACTCCTGATTCATACATCTTTCTTCTTTAGACCTGATTCATGTTCTAACTCCAATAGTCTCGAGTATAGACTCCAAAACTCAAAGATACTAACACACTTTGTAAAACGAGAAATATTTTACGATTTCTCAACTATGATCGATACACCTGTCGTTAATAATTCATTAAGACAAAGATTCTAAGCATACTCCATGTTCATTCTCTAAAGTATAATAATGACAGAAGAATAATACTTGAAACTCAAGAGAATCGATTAATATCTATGCTTATTAAATTGTTTTAAATCGTCACCACGTCCCTGACACGTTATTATAAGGAAGGGTGTTGATCCAGACCTGACACAGATCTAACCCAGGTGTCTACGAAGATCCTCTACTGAATGTAGCAAGGAAAAATAGGTTACCAGGCGAACTAGGCCGTAAGGTGGCAAGCTGAATCGTTCAAGGATGATGATACTTAACGCATCGTGATAGTATGTGTACCAGGGACTCGAGGAACCGCACCCCCAGCAACTTCGGATCCCTCCAAGGAACTCCGCCAGGACCAGGTCGACCCCAGGGCCAGAGGGGCGCCAGCTAAGCACACGGGCGTCGTAGCATATTAAACAGTTTCCAAGGTTCGTTTCCTACTTCCTTCGAAGCGACTGCCTCATGCTCAATATGCTGATGTGCAGGATGTATACTGATACGCGGGGATAAATATGTGAACCAGCTGACGAATGCCTCTGCTTCGCTATTTCTAAAAGCGAATGGCGAGCTCGGATCGATGAATGAGATGACGGCGCGATGAATGGGGGATTCGGATTAATCAATTTACTTATACTTGTTGCTTTCGAATAAGAAACTTTTTCTTATAATCTATCGTATCTACTGTGTGTTGTATTGTATCAATTATGTCTATTATCTATTATATTCATCATCACATTGTACCAATTATTATATTAACACTTAGGCAACCGTCTAAAGGACTATGACCTTTCTCATTGTGTTCGAATGAACTTATTTAACTGATTTGATCAAGAACTTTTTTATAAAAGCAAGAAAGATGTTCGAAGATTGAGAGTAACTCGAATTCAAGACTTACTGAGTAACAGAAGAAAAGATGAAGAAAATAAAAGGCAACGCGTTAAGGGAAAACTGGGAGATCTCTCCATTCGGTGGGGTAAATGTTAACTTACGATGATTCTGTTAACTTGTCTTTCTTCTATCTACGAAATATCGAACAGCAGACCGTTAGCGAACCGTCGATTCAACTCTCGTTTCAAAGTGATAATGATAAATTCGCGTAATGCGTTGATCTCCCTGTCGCGTCGGAGAAATCGGTTTTCGCGCTGCGGAACGCTCCAAACTTGTACGTGATCGGCGAGCGATATGTCCGCGGCACAACCGGAAACAAGCTGAACACTCAGTCGTGTCGGCGGTCCCTCTCGTTCCTCCTCTCTCTTTCCCACGCTCTGTTTATCGACGTTATTGCTGGCAGAAAGATGTTACACGTTTCCCCCTACAGCGAAAGTCCATTACGGAATGTCTCTTATATACGCCGCCATGGCGAAAGTCGGTTCATTTCGGGCTATTCATAACGTAACTTTATCGTCGCCGCAGACGAGTGGGCGAAACAGATTAAATTAACATTCGTTCCGACGGCGGAACGCCAGATTTCTACGCCGGCCACCGCGGAGAGCGTTCGACGTAAATAGATCGCGTGTGATCGTCGCGTAATTTCATTTGCTTCGACGCACCGAGGCCAATAACTGAAAGATTCAAACCTCCGTTCGGAAATATTGGAAATTTTCGTTCCATCGTAGCATTGACATCAAACCTTCTAGTTTCTTAAACGCTGTGCAATTACAGTATGAATTCTAGCAGGAACATTCTACTTTATAAGGGTAATCTTCATTAATCACAATACCATACTGAATCTACGAGACTTATTCATCAATTGAAATGGTACCTTAGCAACTGAAAACGTTCATACTCTCTTTCAACGTCTCAGTCAATCATCACACAAAATCAGAATTCCTTTCTCGATAGATTATCCACTTGCCCAAAAGTTTCATCGCTATATAATAACTGCACAATATATATTTCACATACGATTCAACATTATCTAATTTTATCCGTTCCCTTCATGAACTTTACAATACCATCTTCCCAAAATTTCTAGCAAACTAAACATTAGAGAAACGAAGGAAACTTGCCATCCCAATACACTAAAACTAATTCCACCGCACTTCGAAGAACTCAATCAATCGC